TTATGGTTAATGGTAACACCCATCTCTGGAATTCAGCTCTTGTGTCCATGTTTGAACCAATGTTGTAGTGAAGTCATGAGCTGAGTGGCCCTGGCAGAACCCAAACTGGGCATTACTGAGTTCTTAAAATGTTCACTGTAACAAACAAATTAAAACGAACACTATTCAAACAATAATTAACAGCTGTAGCATGCTTCAAATAAAAAGATAAATTTTCCTTTAAATAGTTGATACAACAAAGATTCACCTCATGTAGTTACAAACACTTGCATTATATCCTGAATAAACGTGTGACCATATGCAATCTAATGGTCTTGCCAGTTCAGGTTCTACTACGTTCGATCTCTTATTTCCCATTCAAGCATTTTGACCCTTGAGTCACATTTACCAGCAGCCATATTCCATTGGAAGTTCTCAGATAAGGGACATGACAGCCCTGGTAGTACAGAATCTCACCTCCCTAGCCCCTTTATAATGGTTAGTGGGCTCTGGCAACACTGAAAAAACAACATGGGTTCTGGTCTCTTATAACTGCATAACTAAATTAAATCATCAGGTGACCACCTCTGGTGCCCTTTTATAATGATGTGGTCATCCACCAGAACCATTGCGGGAGCCTAGGCTAGATTCAATGCCACCAATCCTCCTCCTTGGTGTTAGACTAAGTTATTTATACCAGATGGGGAAAAGATGCCCACACAAAGTATTCAGCAGAAGTTAAGTTCAGTCTTCATAGGCAGAATAGTTCTCCTACATGTTACTTAATAATACTTACATTACATGAGATACATGATAATCTTTTGTGGGACATCAGGCCACACTTAAGAGTAAGTACACATTACTACTACTGATATATTCTGGGGCAATGTGGAGACATCTGGAGAACAACAACTCTGGATAAATCCTCCTATAAACAATCCTTTATATTCTAATGGACAGAACTTTTTCCATGATGACAGTTAACCCTTTCAGGTACTTAACTGTCTTTTACATGTGCCTTTGACAATTGTGGTGCAAGTCACAATTCATTGCCGTCTGTATGTTTAGCTCTCTATGGCACAGAGTAACACAACCTCTGCTCCATTCTCAGAGACCTTCTTCAGCATCACTGTTTGAACATTGCCAAATAGAAAACTTCCATTCAAACAGAATATTGCTTGTTTCCTCTTTACTTGATTGCCCATTGTATTCTGTACTGCCAAACAAAAAATAAAGCTAGCTAAAACCTATTGCAGTTAGTTTCCTGTTTAGCTTTTGCTTCATAGCAGTTGATTCATATCAAGGGGCCAAGTCATCTATACATAGTCCTAATTTGTGTGCTCACATCTATGTTCATAGGGATGGCAACCTTAGGATGCATAGACGCTTTTTGAAACCTATTGACGTTATAATCAGAACACCAATTTACCTTTTTCCAGAATATACCTCAACCCACTTTGATCTTCAAGGATCAGTACTAACAGTAGACACAAATCCTAGCACACAGGTCATCATGGAAAACTGTATTAATTTTGTAATAATAAGTGTTAGATGAAAAGATCTGCAATTCCACATTTTCCCCTTCTCATTGTTCCTAAATTGTTACATGCAATTTTCCAATCATTAGTGCACAGCTACAATATTTTCAGTCAATTCCTTTAAAACCCAGGATGCAAACAGAACCATTTATTTAAATAAAGCAAGGTGCTACGGGAGCAAGCAGGCTATCTTGGTTAGGTAATGATGGCTGAGACAGCAGTAATGGCCAGGATACAAGGAGGAATCATCTTTAACACAGTCAGGAGAAGTTAAGGTCCACCTGAATAGGGATACAAGACCTCAGCAACCTACTGCAATTGAGAGATAACTTCCAAAAATGCAGATAGAGAACATGGTGATAAAAAGTGTTAGATTTCCCTTGAAAAATAAAAAGTTGCAACAATACTCATGTTTAGCAATTTTTAAAAAATTCCTACTGGCTAGCTAGGCAGCATTTATTGACCATCCCTAATTGCCCAGAGGGCAGTTAAGAGTCAACCACATTGCTGTGGGTCTGGAGTCACATGTAGGCCAGACCAGGTAAGGATGGCAGTTTCCTTCCCTAAAGGACGTAAATGAACCAGATGGGTTTTTCTGACAATTGACAATGGCTTCATGGCCATCATTAGATTCTTAATTTCAGATATTAATTGAATTCAAATTCCACCAAGTGACATGGCGGAAATCAAAGCCAGGACCCCAGAACATTTTCTGGGTCTCTGGATTAACCATCCAGCAATAATTCCACTAGGCCATTGCTTTCCAAATACTAGGACTAAGTTCAAAATGCGGGGAATTCAGTCAAGCAAGAAGGCCCACTTATAAGGACAATCAGTATGGCAAGTTGTACTGACTGAATTAAACAAGTACAAATTCAACTATGACAATTTACGTGAACTTGAGTCATAAAGAAACTTAATCATCCATTTGGGTTTTTCCTAACAAGGATTGCCCATTTCACTCTCAAAAGATTGAGAAGCACAAAGGGGCTAGGAAAAAAGACCCGAATAACCAGTTTAGATCATCAGGGTACTCTAGCTATTAGGAGTATACTGAAAGCATAATTTGGTAATGGCAACATTGCATCCAAGGCCTAGGTAATCAAGGAAATCAACCATACATCTCATTGAGAAATAAGGCTGAGGAACTGAAAAGCAAGCAAAATTTAAAGAGAGCAAATTCAATTTCAAATTAGATATGGAAAGAAAGAGAGGTAGAAAGGAAGATTAGATTAACAGTAAGAAAAATAGAAGAGTTTGGTAAAAACATGAATATTTTAATCCCTTTTGTTTTTGCAGTTTCAACCTGAAGAACATGACTCCACATTTGGCGTAGTTAATTTTGTCCCGTCTCTGTCTTTGGTCATTCAATCAAATCGCGCAAAATCTTAGTAAGCTATTCTGTCACGTATCTGTCACACCAAGAAGGCTAATTTCTTTCACTATTACTTTCCATTAACACTACACCTCCACTGTCACCAAAACTTTTACAGGAACAGCAATCATCTAGATATGATTTCTTATCTTCCTTGCTGGAATTTGACCTCAGGTAACTCCAATGAGTTTAAAATCCAGCTGTCAACATCTTAACTTACATGCCAATTACATCCATTATAGTTCATCTGTACTTGTCATCTTTTCTTCAACATACTAAATGTAGGTTATTTGTTTTCAACATTTCCCCAAACCATATTTACAAATTTCTCTAGATTTGTATCACTGATCCTTCAGCTATCCTCTTCTGAACTTTAATGCACTCTTTCCCTTCTATTCTTCAGTGGAGACAATGGCCTAATTGTATTATCATTGGACAGTTAATCCAGAGATCCAGGATTCAAATCCCACCATTGCAGATGGTGGAATCTGAATTCAATAAAAAATCTGCAATTAGGAGTCCAATGATGACCATGAAACCATTGCTGATTATCAGCAAAACCTATCATCTGGTTCACTAATGCCTTTTACAGAAGGAAACTTCCATCCTTACCTGGTTTGGCCTACGTATGACTCCAGACCCACAGCAATGTGGTTGGTTGACTCTTAACTGTCCTCTGGATAATGAGGGATGGGCAGTAAATGCTGGTCTAGCCAGCATTTCCCTCATTCTGCGAATGAATAAAGGCAACAAAACTCTCAACTCCACTATTGAGTTCTCTCTTTTTAGAAACCTGCAGAACCATCTTTTTGACAAAGTTGTTTTGTCACCTTCCCTAACAGTCTGCCCTGTTGTACTTCGCCATTCTGAGAAGTCTTGCAGTGCTCTTTCCACATGTCTCACCTTTATGTTCAGATGTTCAGGCCCACGCTTGGATCATATAGACCAGCAGTGCCTACATTTCATACAAGTGTGAAAATAAGAATCAGAGCATTTATAATAATAAAAAAGTCATTAAAAAGTTTTTTTTAATGATCATTAATTTCATTCCCATCACTTGCTTTGAATCTGGTCACTATTTGTTAGCAGCTGCTTCTAGTAGCTTACTAATATTTGCATTATAATATTAACTACTGACCACAAATTTTATTCAGCTGGAGAGTTGGAGATGGTGACAGAATGATAGTCAAGCCTGAATCTGTTTAAACATATACACTTCCAGCTATGGGCACTGCATATCAACAAGAAACCACAGCAAATTTTTCCCTCATTAGCTCACTGGCATTGGGACCAACTCTCAACACCACCACGGAGATGAGCTGGTGAAGCATAGACTGGGAGTCAGAGAATGAGTAGCTGAGCCATATTTACTGCTCCTGTTATCTTGTGCCTTAATAAGCTGAACTACCAATTGTGTGATAAAGCAGTTATCATCCCAAAATAGTTTGTTTCTCTTTGCAAAACAAGATATATACTAATCATGACAGTTTAATGGCATCCTTTCAGTATTTAGTTTCCACACACAGAATCAATATGACAATGCATTCGAAATGCAAATCTAACAATTGCTCTGCAGGCAAGATACTATAAATCAATCTATTTTCACATAATGTTAATTTTTATGACAGTCATTCCTATAGCTGATATGGAAAAATTCTTATGCAAAGCACATCAGAAATGACACAAGTTTCCCCAACCCTCTCATGTAGCAGAAAATGGTACAGTGGTGATGGAGAACAGCAGCTAAGAAACTATAAAAGAAAACTGAGTGAGTTAAAACAATGAAATTCCAAGCTTAAAAATATTTATGAAATAGTTACATATGATAAGACATTATTTGTTTACCTACTGCAACTTAATTAATTCTATGTACATTATAGCTTCCTATTGCACAATAAGAAATTATGCAACTTATTTTTCATGTATTATACATTAACTTACATTTATTAAAAGTAAATGTTATGTATGCTCTACTATATTAATAATTATAATAGAAAATCTATTTATGTGCAATTCAAAATGAAACAATGCAAATACTGGTCTTTACTTTATCAGCAGCATTCAGGAGCTGCTGGCTTATTATTAAGAATGCCTTGATTATAACTCACAGGTTCGATCTTCAGAGCATTTCTATAGCTGCCAAACAGAGCCGCTTGAGTCTTTAAAAATGCACGAGCAACTCCATCACCTGTGGTTGTTGATACTTTCTTAAGTCTGTTCTTTAGAGCTGACAACTGTATATTTGAATAAAAATAAGGAACCAAAAGAGATAATCAGTATCCCGAAGTATCAAAAATAAACCAAACATCAAACTTCAAACTTCATGGTGATATGGGTGATGGAATTTCCTCCAATTAAGCCCAAGATTAAAGTTAGCTTTGATAGTCACATCGTAAACTGAGGCAATCAGAGATATCAGTGCTTTTCCTATTACACCTGCAAAACAAGCCACAATGTTATTGTGATCCAAAGAGAGCTGCAATAAGCCTAATCCAAATAAAACCCCACGTCAACTTGAGCTCCAAAATTTTTTGTGTACACACAATATTGAATTTTTTCAAAATAATCTGAGAAACCACTTGAACAATTAAAGGATATGTGCCAACATTCAATACTTAATGAATAGAAGCTTGAAGTATGAAAATGCACACTAGTTGTTCAACTTTGTCAGATATTACTAGGTGAGATAAAAGAAGAATTGATGTACTTCTCAGGCAATGTATTTAGTAACATTATGATTCTATTCTCTACCATTTATATTCCAAAGTCAACATTACAGTTTTGTACTGCAGTGTATAACCTAAAACAATAACTATAGCAAGTGATATAGATAAAAAATCATTTAAAGACGAAATAAAGCAGATGCTGGAAATGTGAAACAATTGCAGAGAACTCTGGAGAAAGTCAGCAAGTCTGGCAGCACCTGTGGAGACAGAAACAGTAAATGTTTCGAGACCAGCATGACACTGCTTCAGAATGGAAAAATGTTTGAAAATACATTTTTTTATACTTTTGACAGAGGAAGAGAAGGAGCAAGACAGACATGAGAGAGACCAATGCAAAATACAAAGGGGTTATTAATATTTGAGAAAGAAGGTCCAGAATGAAGAGAGAATGGGTCGTCACTACTAAGTGCAAAGTATACAAAATATGAACTCGACCTGGCTGAGGGCAAGGGGTCAGGGAAGAGAACACAAGAGAAAGAGGGGGTAGACATAAAACAATTATTGAATTCAATGTTGAGACTATAAAGCTGTAGAGTGCCTACATGGAAAATTAGGCATTGTTCCTTGAGCTTGCATTGTGCTTTGTTGGAACATTGCAGCAGGCCCAAGGCAGAAATATTTACATAAGAGCAAAGTGGTTTATTGAAATGGCAAGCAATGGGACGTCAGGGTCATTCCTACAGAAAGAATGGAGATGCTCCATAGACTGGTCAACCAGTCGGCACCCACTGTCCTTTTTCTTATATTTTCTTACATTTTCTTCCCCCTCCCACTTCCCTCACAGCCATGTCGTTTTTGAATATTTTTTACTTTGCACTTAGTAGCAAGGGCTTACTCTTTCTTTTCATAGCATAATTTACAACCTTTTTACATCCCGTTCTTTCTCTTGTCACCATTAATAACCCTGTTGTCTTTTATAACGTCTATTCTCTTGCTCCTCTGCCTCTGTCAGAAGTATGAAAAAAATACCTTTTCCAGCACCTTCCAGGTAAAAAAAGGCTGATTTGGCAATAAAATACAATATACAGTCATTGTTTCACTTGGGCAGACTCTCAAAATAAATTCATTGTTACAGAGAATATTTAGAATGAATGAAGGGAGTTCAACGGTGGCAATTCACATTGGTACAAATAAAGAAAAACCAAAGTGAATGAGTGACTATATAACAACCCTCTCATGCAGCAGTGATTTTGCATTATGTTTGCAAAGGTATGACTGTTGCATCTGAATAATGAGTGAATGATGATGGACAAGTGAGACCTCAAGCACGTTAGACAAACTGCAATTCTTAGAAAATACACAACTTCCCAGACAGCATATGTTAAAATAATCCCAGCAACAGAAAGCAAACCTCTCTGTTGAAATACACAGCACTACTGATTAAAACCTGACTGTACTGATTCACTGACTCTATTTAAAATACCTTGAGGGTCAGCAAATCAAGTTTCTTTTCTGTTCAGGATAAGAAAATCTATAAATTTTAAAATAAATTTCAAAGCAGAATATAGTAAGCAGATGGTTCATGTAGGAAACAGAATTTGATGTAGCTGATACGAATGAAATTAGACGCACTATTTGTGATGGTACGGAATACAAAAGGAAATTGTGCGAGATCAAATAAATCTCACTGAAAACGGATGCAAAAGTGTCAAGTATTACATGTCTTTTCTGATACTAGATTTGAAGTTGTAATGCACCAATCTACTTCAATATTGAGGTTGGACATAATAGAGATATACTTGGATTGTTAGGATAAATGATGATTGAAATGACAGCATTTGTGACAGAAAGAAAAGTCGAGGCACAGGATATTCCAATGGGAAAATTAACTGTCACACAGCTTATGATAGTGAAGACAGAATTTAAGTTAATAGGAGATTCAATAGACTCAAGCCACTCTTAACACACATGCTTGCTGAACAGCAAACAGTAACATAAAACAAGACATATTGCTTACAAACAAAGAGAATAATGGTTTATCTACTGCTGGAGACAGAGTATCATCAAGCCCGGAATTTCTCTGAAAGGTTTTATGATTATTCTAACAGTAAGATGATCACCTTTAGGTCTATTTCAACACAGCCTTGATCAGCCTCTTCTCTCTAACCCTGCATAGACTACAATGATCAAAACCCAAGTTCCATTTATTCATCAACCTATGCTCCCTGACAAACAAAGGCTCTCAGTACTACGAACTCAACTTTAAAATTCTCAATTTGTGTTCAATCCTTCTATGGCCCTACCACCATGTCTCTACAACCTTAGATGTTTAACTCCTCCAACTGTGGCCTCTTGCATATCTCTGATTTCCCCTGCCCCACTATTGGTGATGGTGTCTTCATCAGCCCAATGTCTGTTCTCAAATTCGTCCCGAAATCTGCCTTCCTTTCGTTTGTTCTTTAAGACACACTTTAAAGTCCATCTCTTTGGCAAAGCTTCATTTAATATCCCATTATATGACCAAACTTTATTTTCTTATCCAATTTTATTTGGTATGTTCTTGTGAAGTGATGTTTGTCATTTAATCATGTTTATAGACACTATATAAATGCAAGTTGTTATCAAAATAGTGATTCCTAGCCGTACAACTAATATTAAAACATAAGACTACTTTTGCCCTGAGGGCAGTCAAAGCAAATATTACATTAAGTACAAGGTCATTCTTTGAGCTACGTTACAATTCCACAATGGCGCACTGGTACACTAACATTCTGTTTAAGCAATCCCAATCTGGAGCCTGTGAATATTGTTATGCCTCATCAGGGTTAAGGAATAAAAAGGGAATTAAAAGTTAAACGAATTAAAATCCTGTAACATATACAAGAGAATAGTTTCTTTGAATGTGGAATTCTCATCAATAAGGAGATATTTTGAGACATAATGCATTTAAAAGGCACTGAATTTTCCCCTTGCGGAAAGCGAAATCGCAAACAGTAAAATAGTGATCAGGCTGTGTTTGTTTGTGCAGCACCATTAGAAGTATTTGCTGCACAGGCACAGTGTCAGTGTCCGTAACAACAACTGCATTGAAAATAAGTTGGCTTGACACAGAATAACAATACTGTGAAGTCCTTAACCAATTCTAAGTTCTTGCATCCAATTTATCTATCATTTATCCTAGGGGAGAATGATACTGACAATTCTGGAGAATGCTGGAGATACAATATATAGCCAACGAAAACTTCACCCAAGATATTGCCTAGACATGCACATTCCTCCATTTTAACAACGGTAGTATCTTAGATGAACAGACACCAGCACAGAGAATTATGCAAGGTGTATCTGAGGTGTCAGGAAATATTATTAAGTAATCTTCATAGTATCAATATCAATTTTTCTTTGTTGCCAAATCAAGACAGCCTGTGTGATATGGCACTTCACAAAATAACGTTTGAAAGTCAGATCACAACCCAAATTAATCAGTTTCATGCCTGCAATTATCAGAAGCTGACCTCATCGACAAAGCTGCAGTTTAGGAATCAATTCTCCTGAAAAACTGCACATTTTCCTCATGCTTCATGTGTCAATTTCTCCACATAGGAATACAAGGAGACAAAGGAGAAGGAAAACACATTGAACACATTTCAATTTTCCCATTTTAAATCTTCTGCATTATCTAGCACAATCTGATAAATTTTCTGAAGAAGCAGCAATGTCTTTCATAAACATGCACTGCAAGCTCTACCAGTTCATCTATGAGCTAAAACTGTGCTCTAAAGGAAAAGGTTGTTTGGACTGCAAATTATAGGAAAAGCTTCAACAGTGGTAAACATTTAACTGACATCCTTGCAAAAATTACACATCATCAGACAACATTAAGGATGAATGTAAAATCAAACAACATAAAGAAGAATGACTCTTACAAGCTTCAACACAATTTATAAAACACCGGAAGTAAAGCACATAAATCCAGGCAAACGTCCCAAAAAGTCTGTAAATGTGAAAGTTGGTTCAGTGAATTTAAAACTCACTCTTGCTACTGACAGTATTCCAATTATATCTGTTAGTAATGAGATGCTTAAGTCATATATTTTACTCTATAACTTTTTTCCATTTTATGTGAGAGTTAGAAATGTTAATTAATTTCAAAGAAAATAATAATTAAGGTTGTGAAGACTGGAAAGGATGCAATTGCTGGTGATTTTGAAAAATGGCATTTCTTGTTAGCTGCAAGTGTCTTTGATTGAAACACAATTCAGGGCAATAAAGTCAGCAGGAAAAAGCAGCTGATAGATAACTTAAAAGCATGTGGAATACTTGGTGGCATTTCATATGCTTTGCAGATGTAATTCAATTGCTTGACAGAATAGTAACAGGCTAAAGGAATTCAGATGATGTTGTCTTAGTAATTAATACATCACTAACTACAAAAGCTATCTACTTGGAGCTGTTGTCTACATGAATGGAAAAAGTCAAAAACAGTTTACTTACAGATTTGAATCGATACAAAAATGTTTTATGTTGGATTGAAGCATGTAGTGTCACTAAGGTCTGCTGGCATTGTTTGCTTCCAGCAGATATTGGTCTCTAGCCTTGTCAGGTTATTTGGTTTATTACTGCACCATTAAGAATGAATTTTGACATTTTGAAATGAGTTATACAGATAGGGTAGAAGACAGATATAAAACTACCAGAAAATAAAAATTTGTCAAACATTAGAACCAGAGAAAATTATCATATGAAGCATATAATGCCCTGGGAATGAATGTACTAATCAGGACTTAAAATCAAGGTCATGCTGCAATCTGTCCATTGGGTAATACATGATCATCCTACCTGCAGCATTTCCCACTCCCCATAGCCATTGCATCTCAAAAATTGTCAAGTGGTCATGAGCCTTGTGGCAGTACTTTCATCTCTTGTTTAAAACAGTGGAAGCACGTGTATGCCTGCAAACACCACCTTGCCTGAGGCTAGATGCAATTTTCCCGCTGCGAGACTCCCATTCTTTGTTAATAGGGCTATGTCATAGGACAATACAGTGAATGTGAAACAGTGAGAGTTCACAATGCATTACCATATTTAAAAAAACAAAACATAAATAATGTATTCGCTTTCGGCAAAAGTAGATTTTCCTCCCACAAATGCAGGACATTTTTTTTAAACCGTAATCAAACACTGGGATAATTTTTAAAAAATAGCAACTGAAAAGGAAATAAGACCAGACATGAAGTGATATAAAAGATGATTGGGCTCTGAGTTTCATGACTCTAACATGTTGCAGGAAATTTATTGAAGTTAAAGAAAATTTTAGACAATGGTCACTCTCAGAATATACTACTATACTGACAAATGCAGAAAATATATAATTATGGTCAAAGCTTATTGTTGGTTTTTCATTATTGTAATCTTTATTAATTACAGATTTCAGGATAGCTTAATTTTTTTAAACTACAAGAAGAATTTTGTGGAAAATGGATTAATTTATTGCCACAAACACAGATTGCCTGAATTTCTCGAGCAAACTGGCAGCAGCTGTGAAGAGAGAGAAAGATGGTTCATGTTTTGAATCCAGTATTACTTCTCTTCAGGACTGAAAGTGTTGGAATTTTTTTAACATACTTTTGACAGAGGCAAAGGCAAAGCCTGAGGGTAGATGGTGGGGAGACCCATTGTAATTTTTGAGTGGAGAAACACATGTACAAAAGAGTGGAATCAAGGGTGGAGTTGAGGCAGGAGAACAAAATACTCATGCGGGAAATGAAGGTCAGAGAAGGCCGGAAGGAACAAAGAGGCAAAAAAAAACATAAGCAACTACAGTAGTCAAGACTGGAAGCTAGAAAGATAACAAAAGGAAATCCAGAAGATCCAGATCTGAATGCATGTAGCATTCAAAATAAAGTTAATCAAATTAATAAATATTATCTGACAGCCATTACAGAGCCATGACTTCAGGATGACAACAATCAGGTTCTGATTATTTAGGGGTACATGACATTCAAGAAGAATAGGAAGTGAGATAAAAGGTGGAATAGTAGCTCTCCTAACCAAGATGGTATTGTGCAATAATTAAAGATAGTGTTGCTTTAGGTCAAACTGTAGAATCGGTTTGAGTGCAAATGAAGAATAGTAGGGGAAAGAGAAACTTGTGGGAGTGAACAACAGGCTGCCAGTACAGTGACCATAATGTGGGGTGAGTTTTGCAAGAAGAAATAGTGAATGCCTGCGATAAAGGGAGAGTAATCTGTACACAAACTAGAAAAATCAGATTGGTAACAGTAGTTCCAGATGAAGAGTTTATGGAATGCTTTTGAGGTAGTCTCTTAGAGCAGCAGGTTCTTGAACTGACCAGACAGTCGGCTATACCAGACTGGGTATTGTGCAATTTACAGGATTAATGAATGACCTCAGAGTAACAGCATCTCGATTTCGCAGTGGTCATAATATGATTGACTTTTATTTGCAGTTTGAAAGAGAGAAGAGTGGATCTAAGACTAGCATTTTAAAACTGAATAAGAACAACTATATGGGCATGAAGTTGAATGAGCTGAAATGAACTAGGTTATTAGGCTAGCAGAAAGGGCAGTAGAAGACCTGTGGCAAACATTTAAAGTAATATTTCAGAATACTCAATGAGTACATTCCTATTGAGGAAAAACTGTAATGGGACGACCCACCATGCATGTTTAACAAAACAAGTTGAGAGGGTAAAACTTAAGGATGAAGCACATAACAGTACACATTTGAGTGGCAGGTCAGAGATTGACTAAAAGGTTAATCAGGACGAAAATTCGTACAAGAGGAAGCAAGCAAGAAATAGACAGCAAAGAGTTTTTGTAAGTATCTAAACATTAGGGAAGACGAAAGCCTAGTGGTATTATCGCTAAAGACTCAAGTAACGTTCTGGGGACCTGAGCTTGAATCCTACCATAGCAGGTTGTCCTTAAGGGAAGGAAATCTGCCACCCTCTCCTGGTCTGGCCTACATATGACTTTCAATTGTTCTCTGAAATGGCCTAGTAAGCCATTCAGTTGTACAAATCACTACCAAGACTCAAAGAAATGAAACCGAATGGATCACCTGACATCAAGCCAGGCACTGGAAAAGACAACAGCAGAAACAGCCCTGTCGACCCTGCAAAGTCCTCCTCACTAACATCTGGGGGTTAGTGCCAAAATTGGGAGAGCTGTCTCAGACTAGTCAAGCAACAGCCTGACATAGTCACACTCACAGAGTCATACCTTACAGGTAACATCCCAGATACC